CGCTTTTGTACAGGTCACCGACGCTCGGGTTGTTCCTCTTGCAGACATCTTAGCAACTTTCCCTGATCTCCAGGTACCTGTCGACCCAACCGACCTCACTCGACTCCGATTTGTGGTTATAATGGAAATGGAAAATGAAACAACAAAGGAAGTGCGAAGAATTCGGCTTGTACAATGGAATGACTTGGCCATTGATCAGTGGCGGAGAATGAACAAGACTGCCAGCGCCGAACTGGGAGGTGACTCGAATGACTCTCAATGGTCTCGATCGCTGCGACATTGTGTTTCCCATCTACGGCCCAAAGACGTGGAAAATAATTGGGGATCGAGAAACAGATGAATATAGAAATCTATTTTGCAGTAAATATACAGAGAATCAACTTTGCTACGGACGCTAGAAATTCGAGATGGCAAGTCCAGTATCCAAATCTCTCCAGTGAATTGCTCGTCCCAGCTTCAAAGCGCTCCAGTTTCGGTGACTCGGAATATTTCCCAGCTTCAATGCCCTCCTCTTTCTTTGAAGATCTTTTGCCATTTCCCAAGGAGCACCAATTTCCGCAGCCCAATCAATGTCACCTCTATCGCAGTCTAGCTGACCATTCCTGTCTCGACGGCACTGAATCATGAATCCACTGATGCCTGAGAAAGCGTGATTCGAGGTCGAATCACTCAGGACGACTCGAATACCGCAATCCCAAACGATCCAATCGCAAGTGGCCCCAATTGCGCAATTAATTCCGCCACTAACGTATATGATAACCACAGAAACAAAGGTCGACAGGTATTCGAGGAGCTTGTCCACGAAATCAGGGACATTTGAACCGTAATATGTCCCCAACGAAAGATGGGTGAGATTCTGCTGGTCTTTTAGCAAATGGGAAATCCGGTATCCCGCCTGGCGATGTCGATTCATCTTGAGGTTCAGCTCGAGATGTGTTAGGGAATTGGCCGTCCCCATTCGATGAAAGGAAGAGGTTGCTCGACTCGAGTTCAGAGTTGAATTGAGATAAACTCGTTTCAGCGGGCTCATACTCAATTCCACGACCACACTATCGCTAGATTTTGGACGCCTGTACATGTTAATAGCATCATGACAAGAGACTCCTTGCCGTTGAAACAGCTCGGGCCGCACGTGTCAAAGATCAATGTCTGGACGTGTTCCGCGAAGAAAGCCGCTGGTTTCGGCGAATGTCGAATCGTCCTCGCCAGCCGGTCCAGTGGGTAAGATTTCTTGAACACTATAAATCGATCAAGCAGAGGTTCAATCCTACGAGAGGAAATCAGGTACAACCTTAGACCGAAGCAACCCAAGTGTACCATCGGCGAACCTGGCGCGCGACAAAAACCAGTTAGTAGGCAAATTTCGGGTCTGAAGTAGCTGCAGACTCAAATATTAGACGAATAATGTCGTCTGCTGATTCTGAGAGAGGTTGCATGGTCTTGGGCGAGTATCGTCGCGTACGATGATGATGGTTGAAGTCTGAGTGCTAATATCATGTGATCAGTCCCAGTTGGGTCTCTTCAGTCGCGCAGCTCAAAGATATAGAAAACAGCTTGAAGGATGAAGAGACAGATGAACATAGAAAACTGTTTTGCAGTACATAACTACATATTTGGTCCCAGTCTATCCCATAATAAATTCATAGAAGTGAGAATCAAGTTAAAGAATCAACTATTGATACGGGATTAGCACTTGTAGTCGAGACAAAACGGTTGACTTACCAAGGCCAAGTGACCGCCTGAGACCGGTCGTGCTCTGAAGCCCTCCGCTGAGCCAGAGATTGTATCGTACAAATCTGGGAATGCATTGGTATTCTTCCCATTGGATAGATACTTCTTGAGAGAGGTGATCAAAGCATCACGGAGAGACAGGTCGGTAACAATGGCACTGGTCCATATTTCCCAATCTGTCACTTTGTTAGGCAAGTTCAAGGTCGAGCAAGAGACATACCGGTCTTGGTATAAGTGTGTCTGCAGAACGTCAATGGAGCCCAGCATGATAGTTTAGGAAGCTTACCTACCTTGTATCCAGTGGAACACCGTATTCATCTACCAGACGAGTTGGAAGACCAAGAAACAAAAGCAAGATGCATGCTCACTGATTACAGTCTTGTACCAAGCAGTTTCTGAATACTTTCAATGAATAGAACGTCAGAGAGGTCAGATTTACGTACGCATCTCGTAAACCGAAGCAGGGAACAGTTTGAGACCGAGGTGAACGTCAGAGAAGAGATTGTACGCCTTCGACTTGGTCAAGGCTGCTCATTCGATTCAAAAGATGCCTTACCAGACCCCAACTGTCAGAATCCCCGTACTTGAAGTATTGTCAGCAAATTCCAAAGAGCGATGATCATTCGACCGACTGCAAGGGTTAATTAATGAGGCCCTGTCGTGGAAGCCGACAAGCTCATCCACTTTGTCACATAGTCAGCAGCAATAGCCTACGGGAACTTAGCATGAAGCAGCACTTGTCTAGCTGAACATACACTGTAATTGGCGCTTTTCGCGTCATCACCCAGAATCTTACTGATCTTGGCCATAGCGCCGATTCCGATAATACCTTTGATTGCCAAGTTGGTCTGATTGGCAAGACTTCCGGCGAAATCGTCAGTGCTCAGCTGATGTGCTGGAATCAACGAGTCCTCGATAAGGAATTGAGTCCATTGATCCAAGAGATCTCTCTGTGTGATAGCATTGAGTCGAGAAAAAGTAGAGAAAAAAAGAAGCACGTACGTATCTGATTAGCTGCGAGTTGTCGCCGGTCTTTTCAGCAAAGCTCAGCGCCATGATCAGCATGTTTCCGCTCTCTGAGTCAAGTCAGCCACTGCTTGGATACTTCTGTGAATCGCGAACCTTCCTAAACAATGAGGTCAGGATGGTTTACAAAAGAGATGGAATTACGAACCACTGGCATCGCCTTGGGAGTTTCAGCACCAATGATGTGTGACGCCACAGATGATTGAAACTTACTTCGTCTAACCCCAATACATGTCCAGTAGCCTTTGGATAGTGAGCACCTGAACCAATCCGTCAAGTAGAGGTCATTGTGCAAAAGTACGAGACCGACCCATGTCGTGGACACTCCTGAGTCCCGTTGAGTATACGATGCAAAAACAAGTCTCCTCACATACCACTTGTTTGGATATTGCCCAGACGCCTGGTATCGGAATAGCGGTTCCAGGAGGTATTGGCCCAGCTTTGGGAAGAGATAGAGGAAGATTGGTGACGCCGGGAAGATGACATCAACAGTGTTCATATTGCCGTCCGAGGATATTTCTTTTCAAGTCGGTTAGTGAAGTCGAGGTGCACGATTCGACTCACCTTTCATAAAGTATAGAATATCACTCGTGTTCCATGACCCATTGGGATTCTTCGAGATTGTAAGCTCGTTGGCGGCTAGACTCTGTCGGATAGACAAGGCGACAATTCCAGCGTAGTCTGCAGATATTTTCGACGCATCTGTCTCCACCCTCTGATCCAGCTTATTGGCTGTAGCTAGGGCATTGGAATAGTCATTGAGAAAGAATGATATCTGTCAATGATGAGTAAAAGCTTAGCAGATAAAGCGTGACAAACCAGGTTTTCAACCGTCGAAAAGCGGCTCCAGAAGTAGAGACTGCGCTCCTGGTTTTTGTTTCCTGCAACGATGTATTTGACTGCTGGTTCTCGAACATGTCCGATTGAGAATAGAACAGATGAAGCCTTGCTTGTGACGCTTCCAAGATCCTTGGCCAAGCCGAAGACAGGCCAGCTATCACTCACAGCCCTAAAGTTGGGATCCTTTTGGTTTGCAAGGACACCATTGTTCAGGAATTGCGCGCGCACAACCAAATCGGCCCCCGTCTGATATGTCGCTTTTTTGCTCTGCAAATGGTCGTGTAAGGGTGCTTTGGTCAGTCCATACCAGACAGGCTCACGTTCAACATCGAATAGTGCACCGAGCCGTAAGTTGGTTGGTCGTTTATTTCCTCGAATTTGGAAGGTGAAACTAAGCGGATTTCGTGGCTGAGAATGTCGGTGGTAGTTGTAGCCCATTCCACATCCCAAGAAGTGGAACCTGAGGCCCATTCCGCACTGATATCAGAATAGACTTGAACAGTATGGGCGACTTCATCTGTCGAGGCTGCAGAAACTTCCATATACGACAGCGGGATCGATAACTTGACAAGATCGGTCTAATCGAAAGGTTGAGCGACGCGGCCAGCGCAAGGACAAGCAGGCTCTTACCTCGACCGGGCTCAAGAATGTGACGGTGAGATCGACAGGACCGGCAGAGAGAACAAAAATGCTCTGAGTTGCAGTGAACTGGGAAGATACTATTGGTCTCGGAATACTATAAACCAGAAGAATCATGATTCACCTTGAAGCTCTTCTGAGTTGCCTTTATGAATGAAACTCCATCGACACCAGCCGCGCCGAGGAAACTATAACTTTGTCCATCGATTTTGACAAATCCAGTCCAAGCTTGTACCTGTAAAAACCGGTCAGCAATGGTTTCGATGGACGCCCGATGGATTCACCTGTCCAGCCCAAAAGGTCGCCCATTCACCATTCAGAGGGACACCTTCTCCTTGAGGCAGCCAAGAAGAAAGGTATGGAGATCTGACAGCCAAGGGTATGGAAGGAGGATTGAAAGGTGTAGAGGTCCAACTTGTAGCAGCCAAAGCCTGCAACGCGCATTGCGCGATACAGAATAGCTGGGAATGCATCTTTGAGAACCAACCGACTTCATGGCCGCTTTTTCTACTGCTCTGCTATGATCACGATGTCATGAGAGAAGTGCAGTGAAAGTCCTTGAATCAGTCAGTCTGATGCGCTTCGAGCAAATGTAGACCTCGGGACCATAAAGAGCATACTGCATGCAGACCAGCTGACATCAGAACATTCAAAGCCAAGAAGAGGATGTCATTCGTCGGTCCGGCGACAAACAGCTGAAATAATATGGTCGAGGGAAAAGATAAAAAGGTTCCGGGTACTAGGTTGATAAAGAAAAATACAAGCGACGCCAGCAGGATTTGAACCTGCGCCCTCAAAGAGGAACAGATGAATTAGGAGGATGGCCAAATTCTAATCTGTCGCCGTAACCACTTGGCTATAGCGCCCTAAGAACAATCATATTCTAGGTCTTTCGACGACACTGATGCGGGTTTTGGTGGTAGTCTCTTCGAGACCTTTAATAAACCAAAAATCAGCACAGCAGAGAAATAATTTTGTATTTGCCGAGGCTCCGTTCTAAGGCAAGCGCATGTAAAATAGAAAAAGACGGTACGGGTCCCATTTTTAGCCTCTTGCCGCTCTTCAAGTCAATTGAAATTAGTTGCCCATCTCCTTTGCCAGCTGCTCTGCCTTGGCCTTGACATCTTCGATTGTACCAGTCTATCAAACATTTGTCAGCTTGTCTTGCGAAAACTCTAGTTCTGGCTTACCATGTAGAAGGCACCTTCAGGTAAAGAATCGTGTGCGCCAGTCAGAATCTCCTTGAACGAGCGGACAGTCTCCTTGAGAGGAACAAGTTTGCCCTCGAAACCAGTGAAGACCTGGGCGACCTGGAAAGGCTGCGACATGAAACGCTGAATCTTACGTGCACGTTCGACCTGGGACGGCCGGCCTTCAGTCTCCAAGATTGGATGGAAAAAAATGACAAGCTTACGGTCAGCTTGTCTTCTTCAGACAATTCATCCATACCCAGGATAGCAATGATATCCTGAAGGGACTTGTAATCCTGGAGAATCTTCTGAACAGCGGTGGCGACATCGTAGTGCTCTTGTCCGACCTAGAAAATCCAGTTCAATGCATGATAAAGAAATAGAAGAAATCTTACAATACGAGGGTCCAACATACGAGATTTCGAGTCAAGAGGATCGACAGCAGGGTAGATACCAAGTTCAGCAATACCGCGAGACAACACGGTGGTAGCGTCCAAGTGAGCGAAAGTAGTAGCGGGGGCAGGATCGGTCAAATCATCAGCGGGCACGTAGACGGCTTGCACCGAGGTGATAGAACCCTTCTTTGTCGTGGTGATACGCTCTTGCCTGCAAAGAAAATCAACTTGAGCTGAAAAAAAAAGCAAAAAGGACATACATGCCACCCATATCAGTGGACAGAGTGGGTTGGTAACCGACAGCGGAGGGAATACGACCGAGCAGAGCAGACACTTCGGAACCAGCCTGGGTGAAGCGGAAAATGTTGTCGATGAAGAGCAACACATCTTGACCTTCTTCGTCACGGAAGTATTCGGCGATGGTAAGACCAGTAAGAGCGACACGAGCACGAGCACCAGGGGGTTCATTCATCTGACCGAAGACGAGAGCGACCTTGGAGTCGCCCTCAAGGTTGATGACACCGGTTTCAATCATTTCGTGGTACAGATCGTTACCCTCACGAGTACGTTCACCGACACCTATGTAAAAAAAAAATTAGTATGAATGCAGAAGAAACTAGACTGTAGACGAACCGCAGAAAATAGAGAAACCACCATGAGCCTTGGCGACATTGTTGATGAGCTCCTGAATCAACACGGTCTTTCCGACACCGGCACCTCCGAAGAGACCAATCTTTCCACCACGTGCGTAAGGAGCGAGAAGATCGACGACCTTGATACCAGTCTCGAGGACTTCAGCGGTCGTTGACTGGTCGACGAAAGGTGGAGGGTCAGCGTGAATGGGGCAAAGCTTGACACCTTTAATGGGACCACGTTCGTCAATGGGCTCGCCAATGACATTCATGATACGACCCAAAGTCGCTTTTCCGACTGGCACCATAATTGGAGAACCAGTGTCGACGACTTTCTGACCTCTGACGAGACCCTCGGTACCGTCCATGGCAATGGTTCGGACAGAGTTTTCACCCAAATGAGACGCGACCTCGAGGACGAGACGACCACCGCTGAAGCCTTGGACTTCAAGAGCATTCAGAATTGGAGGAAGGTTGTCAGTGTCAAACTGGACATCAACAACAGCACCAATGACTGTCTTTACGGACCCGACAGCGCTCTTGGCTTCAGTAGCATATGTGCGAGCTATGAAAGCAGATTTTAATGAGTGAAAAGAGCAGGATAAAATAAAATAAAAAAATACCGGGAGTGGAGGAAGAGTCGCCAGCGCGAGCTCTGGGGGAAGGAAGAGAAGCTCTGGAAGGGAGAGCTGCTGTCGACAAAAACGCGTTTGTCCTTTTTGCAGCATTGAAGGTTCTCCTGGAGATGCGCGACACTGCACCGCGAGAGGTAAGCATGATGGTGGATGGAATTTTGGCCAGCGACGAATTTTTTTTACCACGTAGCCCAACTCGATTCCCACGGTCTGCTCCGAGTGGCACGTGAGGCAGGTGACTGTCACGCTAGAGTTGCAGCGGAGCCTGAAAATAATGTCCTCGGGGCAAGAGAGGAATATCCTAACCAGGAAGTTTAGCGTGTGCGGATTCCTCGGCAGCGGTGCCCATACACAGTGGTGCCGAGAAATGCCGAGACGGCCAACAACAATGCCGACAGGTCTACGCTGTTGCCGCCAAGTCGCCTCTTGTGCCGAGGGTCCAGTTTTGAGAAGCGCTGTAATTCAAAGTCAGACAGTCTCAGATTCCCCAAGGAGGCGAGTGATCTTGCTTCCTGCTAAAGAACGACATACAGTTTAGAAATATCATCTTTTTTAGGGCGCTATAGCCAAGTGGTTACGGCGACAGATTAGAACTGGTAAATATTGGTTTCTCCCATCTGTTCCTCTTTGAGGGCGCAGGTTCAAATCCTGCTGGCGTCGCTTGCTTTTTCTGCTTCTGCAACATCCTTGCAGAAGCAGAGAAATCTTTTTTCTTTTACCGCTCGATCCTTTGGGATCTCTGCTTAAACATGTTTTTCAGATCAAATCCTCTGCCCACATTTATTCAGCCAAAGCTCCCGAATTTCCTGGTCTCCACTAGACAAAAATACGTCCGAGATAATTGTCTAATCCTGTGACACCAGCCACAATTGCACCAACCACACCATCCGGTCTTACTACGACGATTCGACTTTCTCCATTGGTTGTATATGCCTGGTAAGCATGTCCTTCTCCATCGGTGAAAATGTTTGAGTCGGAAAAGGTCGCAGATCCCTTGGGAAGGATAACATAGCACCGAAAGAGGTCCGGGGCATACTTCTTCACCCGATCCATGACGGTCTGCTGGATCTCCAGATCAGAGTTGAAGATTAATACCGTGTGGTGAACTGCTCCGAAGAGATTGAGCATCCACAAGGTCTGTGCTTGAGTCGAAAGACCTGGTGCATCGGGTGCTCTGTCTCCTGCAACCAAATCCGCACCAGAGCCTCCTAGACCTCCAGCGCCGTACGGGTTATAAGAGTCAGTACTCGAAGAGAATTCGTCGACCACGATATCGCTGTCTCGATAGTTGACGCCAAGCTGATCTGTTTCCCGACCACGTTCCCATTTTTTGGGACCCGTATCATCCTTGTACATTTTCTTGAAAAGCAGTGTGGTCTTTCCTAACATGGCTGCAATGACTGGGACGCGCTCTTTGCTGTAAGAATCGAGAAGAGAACGAGGAGATAATCCTTTCTCAACGAGGGCCAGTTTCCAGCTGAGATTGAGCTTTTTTGGTAAATTTCAGAATGAGAGGGCCTCAGAGTGGAAAGAGACACATACGGCATCTTGCAAACTGGAATTCAATCCTTGTCCTCCAGCCGGAGAATGGCTATGAATCGCATCACCTCCAAGGAAGACTCGACCTTGTTGAAAGGTCTCGGCCATACGGATGTTCAAGCGCTGAGGAAAAGTCAGCCTGGAGCCCTGAGCTTGACGAGGGATATCTTACCCAGATTGCCTGCCAGGTCTTGTCACCGAATTCGATGTCGCGTCTGCCAGAGCACTCGTAGAAGCACTTTAGCCATTCCTCTTCGCTGCTACCAACTTTGTCCGCATCCAATCCGGTGCCGAAAAAGACAAAAGTGAATACGTCGGACCCAGGAATTTCCGAAGGAAAGAGAGATACACTGTTTCACAGACTCATTCAACATTAGAATCAAAAAGAAATGGACGGCTTACTTGATACGGTCGGAATTCCATACGAATCCAAACTGAAATCACCAGGGATCAGAGATAGACCTCGAGGGTCGGTCGAGCAAGCGCACCTCTTTACCAGTGAGACTCTTGACGACGATATCGCCAATGACCATCCTTTCAGTCATGGTTTCTCCAACAAAAGGCAAGCCTAGCTGTTTGCGAATCATGCTATGACCACCATCAGCAGCGATCATCCAGCGAAATTCGGAGGTCTCTGGCTCTGTCTCGCCGACGCGAAGGATATGAGCCACGACTCCATCTTCGTCTTGCTCAAACGACACGAGTTCAGAGCCGTTTTCCACTTGACAGCCGTATTTGGCCAAATGGGATCGCAGAATGGCTTCGTGCTGGTTTTGTCCTAGACTGCGGACCTCGACCTGAAGAGGGCTTTAGAAACAGACATGGTCCTGCTAGAAGCGACTTGCATATCGACAGGACGGTCGAGGACTGATTTTCTCTTGCATGTCAATTATTCCGGCCTCCTGGCCTTTATTAATCATCTTGATCTGGGGTATGAGCGCGCTCTTTGCTAAAACATCGTCCAGGGTACCAAGAAGAGCGTGTAATTCAATGGTTCGGGGCTTGAACTATGAGCATTGTGAAACACCAGCTTCACAAGACATACCTGGACACCCCATCCTTTGCGACCGATTCGGTGAGTCGTGTTCTTTTCGATGATCCTGACGGATACATTGTTCTTGAGTAGCGTAAGGGCAGCACCCAGTCCTGTGGGACCTGCACCAACCTGGACACGATTTAAGCAATGACATCGATAGAAAAGAGGAAGGATACCCACAATAAGCACAGAAGTCATTGCAGGAAATATAGTGCATGATACTACGTCGCCGTCAGGTATTTATACGAAGCCAAAGTCGCAGCACTGTGACTATGTCTACATTTTGGTCATTGTCGTTGGCAATATCAAGACGCGATGAAGGAGTTGATGACGAGGAAATCCGAGATCGGGATATCTGTCAATTGATTTGACGAGAACCAAAAGTCATCAGCAGCCCTCAGGTTGCGCCAGAGAGCTGAAACCAAAGGATTTCGCAGAAAGTTGGGGTCCAGAAAGACGACAGGGCTAGGTACATGAGAAAGCAACTGGAAGCAAGAAGAAAGGCACAGTGCTTACGCAACATCGTTGTGTCATTAATCATGTCAGTTGTGCTACGTAATCTCAAAAAAAAAACACGCGGTGATTGTGGCGCACATGATCTATCTTCATGTCGACTCCGAGCTGAGGCGTTGACTCTGTTGATGTTTCAAGACTGACCCGCCGGATAAGACAGCCCTTGAATTATTTTGCTCATTAGAGGCAATTCGAAAAAAAAAGTCACAATAGAATTGCCTATGTAGTCGTGAGAAAAACACAGTGTTTGACGTTGATCGGATAGATCCTGAGGTCCACTGGCAGTGAGGACCTCAGTTCATCAGGCCGGTCAGGATCTGAATCCAGTGCTACCCAAGTAGACACTCTCTCCAAATGTTGGACAGAAAATCCATCGAAAATCGGGAAAGCCTGGAGCACCATGCAATGTGGTGATTGCCGACGCCTCCGGCAACATGTTGCCAATCTGGTTTTATTGATTTGAGCTCACTTTGTTCCCGACTACCCCCTGGCTAGCGCAACTGGTCGAGCGCCTGCAGCCTCGAATTGAGACACGGAGGTCGCGCTATCGATTTTTCTTTTTCGATAATCTTAAAGCGTTTTGGGATGGCCCAGAGGTCCTCCTCCATCTATTATGTTTTAGAGAACACTTCTCCGGAAATTACTTATGGACCAGTGGCTTGGTGTCAGTGTCTTGTTTCGTCATGTCCCAATTCTAATATTCTCGTAGCGGTTTTCCCTGATGAATATTATTCCCAAGGCTCAACAACTTGGGCGGGGTTCGATGGGCAGCTAGGCGCATCTCCGGGAAATATCCAGTTATCTTTCGATGGTGCGTAGCAGCCTTTGAACTACTCTCAGCAAGACTGATACATTTTTCCAGGAATTGAAATCATTTTCGTCGGCTTTACAGCGATATTCAACGGATCTGCTTCAACTCAGGATTTCACCGTGGCCATAGACTCGAATAAGGCGTACACTACCTCGACAGGCGACAAAAGTCCCCCGAATTATCTCCAATGGTACCAAAGTCCACAACTCGAGCCAGGCAGTCATTCAATCAAGCTCGACAAAATCAATGGTACCGGCGTCGACTATATTGTCGTTCAGCCAGGGCCAGATTCTCCACTTACGAATCAAATACTCATGATCGACGATGCCTATGTTGGAATAAATTACGTGAACCATTGGGAATCTTCAGCTGCTGCGACTGGTGAGTCACTTTTACTTCTTGTTTTCATAATACTGAGCCTGTCACTCAGTGAGGGGCAATGGTTCCTCATATGGAGGCTCTACATTCCAAAATACGACCCACCAGACTTCAATTGAAGGCGCCTATTTGAACTTTTCCTACTTTGGTGAGTCTCGAATCGAAAATACATCTTTCACTGCTCATGGATGTCTCACAGGTACCGAAATGGCAATGTATGGTATCTACTCTTGGGACCAGCCGGGTAGTTATGATCTTACCATCACCGTCGACGACCAGACACCGTTTGTGAAGACATTCAATTCGTCACAAGCTCACGACCTCTTGACGCCTGACCAACCAAATCTCAAACTGTTTACCACTGGTGATCTGGCCGCAGGGAGACACACAGTCATTGCCAATCTTTCAAGATGCGATCGACAGTCTCTTGTCATTGATTACATTCAGTATTCCCCTGCTTTTTCTTCCCTTGCCACCATGCCCGATCTCACAATTCCACAAGGCAGTGCCAGTGCAGCTGGGCCTTCGAACACTTCATCGGATACACCTTCACCTTCAACAAAAAAGACATCAGCAGGAGCAATTGCTGGAGGTGTCGTAGGAGGTCTTGCTCTGCTGGCTATTCTCGCTTTATTGTTCCTGTGGTGGTACAGACGAAGAAATGACGAGTCACCTGAGGCTCCGGGAATCACCGTCGAACCCTTTGTGTACACCGCACCGGCAGCGCCTTCATCCAGCTTTGCGCCCTTGCGCCGCAATTCTGGGACTGTATTTTCCTCTGATCCACCTACATCATCTGGCGCCTCATTCTCTGGCACCAATTTCACCTCTCCAGCGAGTTTCCGTCCTGAAATCCGACAACGTATGTCGGAACTTCAGCGGCTTATAGAGGAAGCCGAGAATGAGGGCCAGATTGGCGACATGCGACGTCAAATCCAGGAACTGAGAGACGAAAATGAGCGTCTAGCCAGAATGGCTCAGCCTCCTGCTTATGGCGACGATACACTTACAGAAACTACATACAGTACACCTATCAGTCCAGGGCAAAAGCTGGAACCTTTACGGCCCCGTATTGCTGATACCGCTGTACGGTAGTTATTTATTTCATGTTGGTTCTCCGACGATTCGAGACGACTGAATTAGGCAAGTATAGTAGCTTCGACAGCGAGAGGTTAGACAAGATAATATACGCCAAGATATGGGTGATATCACAGAACATATCGGAATTTCTTGTTCTGGATATCGGTGAGATCGAGGAAAGCCTGCGAAAACTTGTCAGAAGCATGTCGACAAAAAAAGTGAAAAAGTCTTACCCGGTCGACGCGCTTCTCCACAGTGGTTCCGTCTTCCTTGGCTTCATTGAAGTAGACATCGTCAAAGTCG